AATAAAATTTGTTGTTGAATTTAAACTGGTTATTGACTTGTGAAAAAAAAAAAAAAAGTGTACACTAAATTGTAACAATTATTACTGATCATTGTGTTACAGCATTGACGCAACAGATTATTTGGGGGTTTTCCTTTACAGATGAATATATTTTTCAAGTAACCAAAATACACACTAATTTACCACCAACGATCATCCATCATACCAAATTTGGTACTTCTGTGACTGCAAACCTTACCTCTTCGCGTAATGCAGTAACATGACCATTAAATTTTATAACAACAACTAATCTTGTCTAGTTGGTTACCAATAACCGTACACGCTGAACAGCATTACTTATGGTAGCCAATTCTACTTGACAATGAAAAGGTGCAATGTTATCAACTGGAATCATTCACGGTGTTCGGTGAACACAAAGATTCCGGTTACTACAACAGTAGTATCGTAAATCTTTATGGCATAAGATTAGCATCCAAACAGTCCAGTAAATTATTCTGTGATGCTTTCGGTACTGTTGATCGGCATCAAAAAACAAACCAGCAGTAGTTTACCCAAACAACGACAATAACTGTTTATAAATGAAAATCAATTTTCCTTTTTTCTTTTTGGTTTTATTTAACCTCCTTTAAACTACAGTATAACAACATCAATTTGTTCACTGTAAACCAATAAAAATCCAAAAAAAAAAATGGCTAAGCTAAGTGACAAACTGTATCAACAGTTACCAAAAAAAAAAAAAAATTGTCGTTTCATTTTGCATTCAAAATGAATAAGTGTTTTCAAATATGGAACAGAATGCAGATGAAAAAAAAAAAAGAGCAACTTATCTATAAGATTGATTAATCTGTTTTTTCCCCCCTTTATTTCCATTCCAAAAAATTATTTCAATTTTCTGAAACTCCTTATCTTTACTGAAAATTTAACTACTTTCTGCTTTTTTCTTTCCCCTCCTCTCGAATTCCTCTTTCACTTTCTGCATTTTCAGCACTCACTAACCCTGTTTACTGTTTCTTCTTCAACACCCAGTTCTTCGTCTTTTTTTTTTTTCCGCCCCATTGGTGATATCTCATTTTTGCAACTTTTCATCATCCACTTTACACTTCTAACACCAAAAATTTTTGTATTTGAAGCTCTGCAATTTCTCTGTCCTTTTTCTACTCTGGTTTCAGCAATAGAAGTTTCTCACGAACGAATTGAACGATTACCACCTACCAGCAGCAGCAGCAGCAACAACAGCAGCAGCAGCAGTATCAGCGAACAACAAACGGCTTTCAGCATAGACAGACGGCTTCAAGCGAGGGGCGGGCCTACCATTGAGAAGAGCCCCTCCCAACAGCAAATGCGCCGCGTATTGCCTCGAAGGTTTGGAAGAGCGCCAAATTTTTGGTGAGTGCCATCCATGAAATGCCTAAGCATACGGATGAAACCTTTGTGCGAAAACGCTGTCTGACTGGTGTACCTTGTACGGCTTGTGTGCTTGCGATAAAATTGGGGGGTCATTTATGGTCTTTCCGCATCACCATTTCTTTCTAAAACTGCCAATTTTTGATACTGTTATGAATACCACTCTAAAAATGTGTCTAGTCTTTCTTTGATTTTACTAAAAAGTTCCCTTAAATATAAAGTGCACTGTGCTCTAGAAGCGTTTTTCCCCCCAGAACAGGTTCATCAATCAGATGCATTTTTCGCATCTGTAATACTTCGTTGTATATGCGATTTTCCAGTTTTTATCAACAAAGATTACAACTGTGTTTACAACAAGCCCGGCGGGTTCCCAAAGGATTCCTGAGTGATCCGCGTTTAGTTATGCACACTATTTTAACAACTTTTTCAAAATAGTGTGTCGACATCTGAAGTTTGATGTACAACATAACTGTAAAATGTTCGAACTATTCGCTGAAAGTCAGTAAAGAGGGTAGATCCAGAAACGGTGTCAGCAACGTACAGCATTTTACTGTAACTGTCTTCGTCTCACAGTTCCTGCGTTTGTGGACTGCGTTATCCTCGTGTCCAAAAGCTCCACATGTATTCATTTCATCTTGTAAAGCAAATCTTATTCAAATTCTTGTTTTTCTCCCTCTTTCTTAATATCACCATCAGCGTTTTAACTTCCAACGTTTTTGGAAAATCATTAAGAAAACCGTTCTTTTGTTCTAAAAAGTTCATTTGAAGAAAGTTTCAGCTGCAGTGATACTGGTTTTATAGGTCACGTCTTTAATCATTTTTTTTTTCTGTTATAGAGGCACCTACCGCATTGGCTTGCCCTAGAATTGCTTACTATAGTCACATACTGTCTGGAACATGCACCTCTCTTCTCAGCGACCAACTGTTTCGAAAACCGCGACCCTTCCAGGTCACATAAAGTGATTCACTTCAGGGCCTAACAACTCTACGGCTAGCAGTGCAGTCCTGATCACCCACAGTCGTTGAAATGACAACCACACTTCCCTCTTCCCCTCCGGCACTTTCAAACCTGATTCCAAATGTATAAAAGAAAAGATAGGCAGCAACGCCACCAAAACTAAAAAACGGCCTTGAGCTTCGCCAGAATTCAGCAAAACTTCCCTCTTTTTTATTTCCTCTCCCCTGAAAAGAATGCGAATAAATCTTGCAACGAAAGAAGCAATACTTCTCCTTTATAAAATTTTCCTTGAGAAAGTTCCATGCGTATTTGTGAAGCAAGATGTGCATTAGGAATTTATAAAACTCCAAACGAACAAACAAAGGTTTGCTAAGCATAACTGTATACAACAGCTATTATGTACAACAAAAAATTAAGGCAATACGTCAACAACCTAATGAGCCAGAAGAACTTTTTTGAAATAGTCCTACAACAACTCAAAAAATTAAGCGAATTTTATTGCCAAACAAACAGGCTCACAACCCTCCAAAAATTCTTTTGGCACATTTAAAACAAATAATATATCTATAACTTGCTATAATCACATCTGAAAAAATTTGATCAAACATTAAAAAACATTATTTACAGAAAACCGGAAGCAATATCAATGACCAAATTTTTCATTGATGTCCTGATGCAACTGTATCACTGTTTTCGTTTCAAACTTAGATGCTGGATTATGTTTGGGTACGGGCTTGGAGGAGGAGGCCTAAAACAAAAAATTACTGGGTTTTACAAGTACATGCAGTAAAAATGTATCTTGGGGTTGTGATCATTAGAAGTTTCTGTTCGTCCAGTCCCTAGTTCAGTTCTATAAGACCACTGCTGTTTGTTAGACCTACTACACCTAACTACAACTGAACAAACTTCTTTATTCACTGATGAGTCTTCTCTACTTTACGTTTGTTAAAGTTACCCACTTATAAAAGCCGCACTAGAGATAAGATTTGCGAAGCTGAGTTAAACCATAGATAACTGGAATTACTTCGCAACTAACTGTAATAACAATTTAATGGTACACTAAAATTTAAACGAACCCCTGTTGCTTACAGATACTCAACTAAAAGGAACAGACTTATCTAACCCTTCTTACTGGACTTATCTTTTATAGCTAAATATATAATACCAGTATTTGTTGGTTTACCTTATCTACCACTCACTTCTTCTTTATGACCTACCAAAGAACAACGACAACAACAACCTTTTCCTAGAAACTGAAAAAAAAACCGAAGGACAAAGTGCTGAACTAAAAAGATGTTATTGCATCAGAACTAGATACGAAAGTGGAAAGGGCTATACAATAGCCTAAAAAGCCCATTTTTTAACTTATTTCTTCTTGCTTCATAATTACTAGATTCCACATCTTCTGATGACCGTATTTGTCTCAAAAGCCTACAAACTTTTCAACTGTTCAAAAAAAAAAAACATTGAAATAACTCTGCTTCACTTCAGACTGATGTGGCTCAAAATGATGAACAAAAATACGGGAAAAATAAATTCCATTAATGAAAAATTGTTGTTTGGACAGCGCTTGACAAAAATAAACAAATTTGAACAAATACAATGTTTAGTCCGAAGATTTAACACACTATAATATAACAGAAAAAAAAAATTACTAGACGTCCTACAAATAATTAACATAAAAGAGCCGTGAAGCGACAGAGAATGCTTACCTTAAATAGGGTGCAACATCTGTGTGCTGAACTGATAAAATTGATTTGATTGGAGCATGTGCAATTCGCGGGTCACACAAAGGAAGCATTCCATTAGGAGCGCAAAACTAAACAAAATTCATTCAAAAAGTTTTTTTGAAATAAAAATTCATGAAGCAATTTATTAGAAAAAGCATCACTAAAAGCAAAGTTAAGAAAGAAGAATTTACCCTAGAAAAGGAACCAAAATGTCGCACAATCTCATCATAGTTAATTTTGTCCTGCCTCGGTTGTAGTGAGCGTAAGTGAGATACAGGCACAATACACGAACTTGACGGCTGAGCTGCTCCAATACCTGCAGGGGCCATAGCTGGAGCTATTAAACGCGGGGCAGCCGAAACGCACGAAGCTTTTGGTGGCTCAGATTTTTCAGGGACATGGCTCGCTGATGTAGATGGTGCTGTTGCATTCTGCGGAGGAGGCGGAAGACCCTTATGAAGGAGAATTTCATGAATCCTGAAGTGAGAAAAGGTGTGCCATCGTTGACTTATAGAGAAAATTATACTCAGAACAAGTGGCAATTTATTAAACTTACCGACTATTCAAGTTCTCCTGTTTCTCACCAGCCGAGGCAGAATTTTTTGCCTCACCTTTCGCAGTTTGTTTCGCTGAGGCTGCAGGCGATGTGCCAGAGCTGCTAGTTGTTGCAGGGCTATTCAAAGCCTGCTGATTTAAAAGGTTTTTCTTTGCTGAGGAAACTTCTTTAGGTGGTTGAGATGGCATCATTGGAGGGGCTTTTTCATGTGGTGATAAACCAGTCATGCGCTGAACAGGATAAAGAGGAGTAAGACTCGTACGCTTCGTAGGAGATGAAACTTTCCTCCTTTTCCTGAAAAATCACAATTTACAAAAAAAAAAAAAAAAAAAAAAAAAAAAAAAAA